TGGCCCTAAGTGTGTTTTCTCACAGGAACCGATTCAAGTTTGGCTGAATTCGGTCGAAAATGGTCAAAAACAGCCAACCTGAGGTGGATCGCGCCCCTGAGTGGCGACGCTGTCGCTGGAGCACGGCGGAGCGGCCGTGCTAGAATTCAAAAATTGGCCGAGTAGGCCCTGGGTCTGATTTTTGGGTTATTTGGGACTTGTGTAGGTAACGTAAGCGTGTTTCAGTTCCCGACGAAAAATTTAGGGAACCTAGGGACCGCCCGTAGGCGTAGTGACAATCTAGTTTTTGGTGTCAAATCAAGTAAGGACTCCTCACCCTATTTTTTATCATAGAATTGAAGTTTGAATAAATAATAATATTGTATTTTGTACAAATTAAATAAATATACATAATTAATTACGGTTGCTAATGGAGCCCGAACCGAACATTATTCTCTGTTGATTCCTGTTTGATTTGTTTACAGTTTAAATGCATTATGGTATCTAGTTTATCTATTCTATAGTTTTAAATGCATGTATCACTGCTTACTTCACTACTGTTTGATTTTGGGAATCTAAGATATGTTTGCTTTGTTGGATGCACGTTACTTGTTTATGTATTTATGTTTGAGTTGGTAACAGAGACTAAGGACAAATAGGAATGAGATGTGATTTGATAAATGGATAAGATGACAGTCTCACTAGATATCTTGGGAGATGGTGGATGGACATAGTTCATAGGAAACTCTACCGTGAACGTTATCTCATATCGGACGGGATATGGGGACGACCCTGAAATTAAGATTGTTAAAGGGAATGGTTCACGTGTAGCGGGGACCCCTATGGATCCCCATGGATACTAGTAGGCTGGTGAAAACGAGAAACGGTAATAATCAGTTATTGTTAATGAATACGGATTTATGATGTATTTTATGTTACTGATTATGCATGAAATTGTGATATGTATGATGTTATTGTCTTTATAGGTTGTTTTCACAGGTTCTCTAACGGTAAGAAAAAAGGGTAAGTGGTTTTATTTTAAATAATTGTATTGGTTTAAAATTTGTGCTTCAATGGTTGTTTTCGGTTTTCTACCAACTTTTGCTTCTGTGACGGTGATATAATATGATGTCCTTACTGGGTTAGTGTACCTCATTCCTTATTTAACCATTTCAGATCAAGAGGACTTGGTTTCCCGAGCCCGATCCACAAGAAAGACAGCAAGTAAATGCTAGATGTTTTATAATTTCCTTTATTTTTCTCATTTCTCGTATTTTTTTAGAAAATTTATTCCGTAGATTGTTTAATACTTTAAGTATTAGGTAAGGGATGTAACTTTAAATTTTTATTTAGCTTCCGCATTCAGATTATTATATGTATTTCCTTTTAAATTTTCAGGGTCGTTACATTATTATTCTTCAATATTAATCATATAGAAACAATTGAAAATAAGATATAGACAACAAGTTTAAAATATTTTAGAGATAGAAGTATGCACATTTCGTTAAGAATTTTATTTCTATTTATGTTTTTTTTAATATATTTTATGGGTTTACTGTTAATGAAATTATTATATTTTTATGGCATGCTTTTTAATAGTTTAAAGAATACGAATTAAATTTACATTACAATTTTTTATAAGTATATAAGATATTAAATATGTTGTTAAAATGAGACTTAATTTATCCAATTAATGGATCTACTTGGATTCATACTAACTTATTTTTCGCTACATCCATTTATGATACATTTTTATAGTCACCCAAAACTAATTAATTTAATTTTTTTACCAATTATTTAGTAAAATTATATTAATTAACATTATACAATTAATTAAAAATGTTGGTAAAATTAAATCCCTGCTTAGCCGGGATGAGCATCTAGTTAATTAATAAAATTAACTAGGTTAATCGTCAAAATACAAATCAAGAAAGTAATTTTTGAATAAAAAATTATAAATCAGTTGAATTATAGAATTTAGAACATAATTCATTAATGAGAATTTTTACCAATATGTATATATTATATGAATAAAAAAATAAAATAAAATGTTCTAATTTATTTATATTGATAGTTTAGATTATTAACAAAATATTATTTCCAAAGTAAGATATCATATTTTATTCTGAATACAGAATTAATAAATTAGCAAATATACTTTAATATATAGTTTTATTTTTAAAACATAAATAATATGTCATAATTTTTATATTTATCATAAGAAAGAAATTATTTATATTTTTACTAAAAAAATTTATTTTCTTACAAGAAAAATACAAGTAAGAAGTATGGAAAAAAGGCACTTTAATACCTTACTCTGCTCGGCTCTTTACATGCCGTTACGTTACCAACCCAAACCAGGCTGGGTTAAAGCTCTGATATTTATACGAGTTTATGACCGTTTGAACTTTCCAAAATTTATTCCAAAAAGAAAAAAGAAAGAAAAAAAAGAGTCAAATACACGACAAAAGTTTCAGCTTCCTCGATTCCCCAGACAGAAACCACTCGATCTTTTGCCACATAAACAATAAAATATAAAATAATGCATATATATATATATATATGTATATATAATGTGTCTGTATATATATTGAGGCCCTTAACGTAAAGTGGGTTTTATAATATAAACCTCAAAAAAGCTTACTATATATTAGATATAACACTACCTCCCCTGTTCTCCGTCTCTCTCTAGAAGTATACATTTTCACTTTACTCTCTCTCAAAGTTTAACTCAATTACGCCACCATCTTCGTATAGATTTCTTAAAGGGCTTCTTAATTTTGATCTTGCCGCACAATCTTTCTTCAATCATGCCTCTGTTACTCCTTTTTCTGCTTTTCTTGGCCATGACTGGCCAGTCAAGTAAGCTCCTGAGTTACTCTTCTTTTTTCCTTCATCTAATTTTCTTTTCTCACATTACAATCAAAGTGGGATATCTTGTTTTTATGGTATTTCTGGGTTTGTTTTGGGGAAAGGACCTTTTTTGCCCCTCCCTAGAGTTTCTAGATCTCTTGTCTAATTCAGTTTCTGAGAAAGTTTGATTCTTTTGATTTCCAAAAAAAGGAAGACACTGTTTCTGTGTGAACTAACACTCTTTGGTTTTTGATTCATCTCCTTCAGGTGCTACTTATTGTCTGTGTAAAGATGGAGTAGGTGACCAAGCCCTTCAAAAAAGCATAGACTATGCTTGTGGAGCTGGGGCTGATTGCACGCCCATCCTTCAAAATGGTGCTTGTTTCCAGCCCAACACTGTTAAGAGTCACTGTGACTATGCTGTCAACAGCTATTTCCAGAGGAAGAATCAGATGTCTGGTTCATGTGATTTCTCAGGCACAGCAACCGTCAGCGCTAATCCTCCCTCCAGTAAGTTCCTCCATAAACCCCTCCCAGGTTTCAAGATTTGGAAGCTTGGTTTTCCGAATTTTAATTATTTTTCTTTTCTGTATTTTTTTGGGTGATTTGCAGATGTAGTTACTGGATGCAGCTATCCTACCAGGTATGCTTCTTAGATTTACATATGCTTTTTTACTATCATCCTTTTCAATTACTTGCTGATTTGAAGAAAAGAATCAGCCAACAGATTTAGGGGGTCAGTTTTCTTTAAATTTTCTGAAATTCAGAGTTCATTTATTTTTTTAATCCGCCAAGGAAAATAAACTAAAAGAAATCCTCTAAGAAAAAGGGAAGTCAGTAGTTAGTTCTATAATTGGATGTGTTGTCTCCGTCTGATGTGCTTATAGTGTACAATTAGGTGCACCCTCAGTTGTCTTATACTGCAATTATTGTGATTCACATCACCATTCACATGGCAGAATTTGGGAGTTTTCTCATTATTGTTTCTTCAATAACTTATGATGAAGAAGAAAACAGCAGATCTATCAGTCCATATTAAAAATGAGCTTCATCATGTTCCTTCCATATGGATATTAGGTGTGAAGATGTTGATATTTTCATCATGGGTTGATTCTAGATCTTAATTATGATTTACCCAACACCCAACATCCTGATATATATTCCTATTTTCTGATTCAGTAACTTCATTAAAAAAGAAATCATATATAAACAACTCTGTTATGGGAATATAAGAGCGTTTTGGTTTCATATTATTTTGTGCAGCAACACTGGGGGGACAACCACCACAACCCCAACTACAACCCCGACGACTACACCCACAACAACAACTGGTGGAACCACCACCGGCACCACCTCTCCGACAATGTTCCCTGGGAGTACGCCACTTGGTCCAACCGGCATCAATGACCAAAGTGGTGCAGTGGCTATCTTCAAGACGACTAGCTTCTTCTTTTCTATTGGATTGACCCTCTGGTTCTCAGGCCTAGTGGCCTAGTGGCCTTGTGGGAATTGAAGAAGGAAGAAAGATTAGTGCGATTGACGGTGTGATGTGGGGGCGAGATTTTGCCACGTAATGCTGGGTGTAGTGTTTGACAACGGGTTAATGTGTAGGTTCTTAATCTTTTGGCAGAGAGCCCCCCACCTAGCACAATTTTTTGTTTTGTTCTTTCTCCGTAAAAAGCTGGGAATTGGGTTCCTTTTTGAATGGTGGTGATATGATTTGGGGTAGGAAGAGAAACCGATCTCTTCTTTTCGTATATCTCCTCTATATATATATATATATATATACTTATTTTTCTTTCTTTTGTATATCTAGAGAGAGGCTGTAATTGTAGAGGGTAATAAAATGTATCTCAATTCCCATACATACTCGCTCTCCGAATTAGGTGGTGGTGGTGGTGGTGGTGGTAGGGGCTGGCAAGAAACACTGGAGAGAAACTTGGTACGATTATGACTTGCCAACCACCTACTATCATCTCTGCGTTTCATTATACTCCTTTACCTCTCTATTAAAACATAAATGTCAAAAAATACGTCTATGAAGTTCAAGAACAAAAAAAAGGACTAATTAAAATCTCATTTTTCTGTCTTCATTTATATATAAAAATTGAATTGTATATTGTTAATTAATATTTAACATAAATAAAACATTATGGTTTGTTGTTATCCCTCATCTCTCCAACCAAATTTAAATTTTACAACAAAACAAAACAAATACACATAAAGCTCCATTGGAACTTTGTGGATGAGCTTTTGGTTCTCTACTCAATTTCTGCAAGAGAGGAAAAGAAATCAAAAAACACTTTCTTGTGTACCCCCTAGAACGAGTTACTTGTTACCTCAGAACCTATAAAAACGATGGGTTTTCGTCCCATAATTTTGCTGTAAAACTCACATGTGAGCTATTTACAGCCATGAATTAATTGCTAGAAATACAATTCTTAACCTATTTGTAAAATCTATATTAGCTATTCAACAATTGTTGTTAAGTGGAGATAATATTAGGCCTTATAATAATTATTTTTGGTCTTTTTTAATTATAGTTAAATTAAAATTTTATATTTAATTTTTACAATAAAATAATAATAATTAATGAGATAAAAGATGTAATTCGTATAAAAAATATTTGTACTTCTAATGAAATATTTATAAGAATCTCAATATCTGAGTCCTGATACAACGATTGAACCTAATAAAAAAAAAAAATTGAATATGAAGTCATGAATACTTAAAACTACCAAAATTCTCTCATCTCAAAAGCTCTCTTATTCATCTCTTTCCAAATAGCTAAGAGGCATCCTAGAAAATAAGGGTGAAAGTGTTTAGATTTTGTTATATACATATAACATTTAACAGTAAATTCCTTATAAAATCAATGTTTTACATGTGTCAATACCTCTCCTTAAAATACATTGTCCCCAAGGAAAAGTACGAAAATAAACCTGAAATATTGGATGATCTTCCCATTATGCATCTATTGAGTTTGAACCTGACCATTGAAACAATGGTTGATTATAATGTTTAATGAATCAGAGGTTGTTGTGTGTTGAAACTGAACAGCCTTGTAAGAGAACATGTTCAGAAGCACTTTTCGATTGAGAGACATGTGGCATAAGGTGAATTTTACTTAAGCTTGGAAGTTGTAACTTATAGACCACCTTTTCAATCTTATAAAGAATGATGAAAAAATATGTATAGATAGAAGCAAGCTTTTGATTTATATGCTGTTATATTATTTATTATTTACAGGATTGGAGTTTGACATAAATTGATTGTCTGAATAAAACTCTCAATTTGTTTGATGTGCATCAATTAGTTGCTTCATTTGGTGTTAAGCTATTTTCAAATGAAATTTGAGGTGTTTGAATTGTAGCTCTCAATTTTAAAGAAATTGTTCAAGAATGAATTTTCGTGTAAGTCAAAATATAGGGAATTCGGATAGAATAGAAATTGATATTCAGGTGACTTTATAGGCATTTCTATTGTGATGACATTTCTAAAGAGTTTTGAATGTCCGAGTGAGTTTCTAAGCATTTCGAATATTAGAAAGCATTTTTGGGAGTTTCAAATATTCACATATTTTCCAAGGCATCCTATACAAGTAGGAACGTTTTTGGACATTTTAAGTACTTGGTATTAATATTTTATGTATTGGAAGACGCTTTTTGACATTTCTCAAACCAAACACCTTTGTCGATGTTCCACGTACTGACATGATGCGGTATGCGAGAACGTATAAACACTTCAGACAATTGAAAGGAATTTTCAGGAATTCCTGCCTTATCAAACATGCTTAAGTAAAATTTTCTCTATTTAATTTCTATCCCATTTTTCAGCATCCAAACAAGAAAAAGAAAAATATCATCCTTTCTCTTCTTCTCCACCAACCCCATTTCCTTTCTCTTTCTCTTTTTTCTTGAGATAAAAAAGAATGTATATTATGTAATGACACCAAGAGGGTGTCGCCCCTGTACAACATACGTATATATTAGTTAGAAAAATCATCCCACCAATACACATCGTGTCGCAGAATTATAGCTCAAAAAATATGTATCCATCTATCTCTAGTTCTATCCAGATTCTCTATAAACCCATTAAATACTCTATTGTTCCTCTCCTTCCACACAACCCAAAGAATAGTTAATGGAATGAACTTTAGAAATTTAAAGTTTTTACCAATCCCATCCCTAAGCCAAAGTTCATTCTTCACCGAACCCCCAATCACTCAGTTGATACCCAGAAGACTATAAACCATATTCCATATACTATAAGTTACTGGACACCAAAGAAGAAGATGATTACAAGATTCAGCCACCGCCATGCAAAGGTAACACTCATTAACTCCCAAACATTTGATTCATACATCTTTGGAAATATTTTTCCAATATGCATGTTATGTCCAATAATTTTTATTTCTGTATACTTTGAATAATTGACTACTCTAATAAACCCTGGTAAAAAAGGATAATTTTATACCTTCATAAGAACACTGCCACCACCTCTCAGTACCAAAACTATTGAATTAAATTAATAAACTTGATTATTGACATTTCCTTCAAAATTTGAAGGTACAGTAGAAGCCCAATTACATACAATTTATCAGGACACTGGAAGGTAGGGACTGCGCTTCTCATTGTGCACCCTGTGCTGAACGTTGACTAAAATAAAGCTATCAAAATGTTGTCATATAAACTCAGTGAATCAGCTGAGTAAATTTCCAACTTTAAGTGTGAATTAAGTACAAAATGGACAGTTACTCTTTTCTTCCAAGAATCTAAGATTCTTAGGAAGCCAAACTCTTATAAGATCATCAAAAATGTAGAAATGCATAAAGGAATATATGAAATAAATAAATAGCAGTTGTGAGTGAGTAGACCTTCAATGCTTTGAGACACATAGAACCTGTTCCTTGCAATGTTCTTGAATAAATTCCAATATCAATTTGACAACGGAATCTGGCTTTTCCACGTGTGGAAGATGACCACAATCTGATATCTGGCGTAGAATTGCATTTGGCAGTTCACAATGTAGTCTCTGTTTTACATAGTTCAAACAGTCACAAAAGGCAAGTTAATTCCAGTTTTTTTAATTAATTTTTAATAGCGACAAACTCTAAATCATAAAACAGAAGTACTTCATGCATAGGATAACAAGAGAAAAGAAATAAAAAATATAGGACTTAAGAAGATCTAATTCTTCTCGGCACGATTCAGTGGCCTATTTTGTTGTCTTAACAGGTCTACAAGGACTTTAAGTTAAAGAAATTATAACCACCGCAA